CACAACGATTGCAATATTACACGAAGGGTTTGTGTATTAGAATAATTTACTGAATAAAACGCAAATAGATCTATATCCATTCACAACAGGGTTATCTGTTCAACAAGATGTTGGTACATCACTGACTCCGTGTCCATGTGGCAGAAGGCAAAATACTCAGGCTAAATTGTGGTGACAAGTTTAAGTTCCAAACGGTGTTCAACGAATATTTCAAATTAATTCACAATCGAAAGTGTCATAGTTTGATAACATTTTGACATTGTGCCGCTCTTGTATAGATTGTTACAACACAAGCACTGAAGTCATGAATTGCATAAACAAGCAAATGTACTAACGACGATCATTAGAACCTTGTGATAACTGGTCAGGGAGAATATAGGCCCACAGAACGTTCCCTGTGCTTCTATAAATGGCCTGGAAATGCCGCCAAAAAGCTGGAATATTGCTGAGTGCGGCGTTAAACAACCAACCAAACCTGGAAATGTTACGGTTTGTGTGTGGCCACAATATTCCCTTTCCTCTCGTATGTCATGCTGTAGCCACAATAACTATATCGTATCTTACATCACTGACCTATATTTATAGTCCACATTCTTGGTGTGTAACAATGTGAAAACGTCGCTACATTGTGTCTGATGCTCCGCGGTGATCAGTGCCTGGTCGCGATGGACTGACTGTATAAAAATACGACTTTCTAACTATCTCACCTTGGAAGATGTATTTAGACTTACAAAAAATAGTAGTCGCCGTTGTGAGGACAGCAGAACAGCAAACACTTACATCGTCACACTCATCCGTCTACTGAGGGAGTTTAGCGGAATTCATTGTGTGTAAATTTGAGCTATTCCTAAATGTTATTGGATATATTCTGTGTGAAGATGTGGCATCAGGGGAGTTGGGGTTTGGTTATTGTTTAACAATATTCCCGTTACATACATGTTAGTCATCGATACTGGACCAGACAACCATCCAATGGCATCATAAGCATCGATCTTCACAATATTTGGATATGGCGACATGCATCCAGTCGGGGAATCTGACCACAAGATCCCGTCACCTCTCACGAAAACCCGGATCTTCACGGGGTCAGGTTGTTGCTAAAGACCAATTTCTTATCTGAATGTTCAAGAAGGACAAGCAAGTTTCTATAAGGGCCGATTCTAACCCGGATCTTCAGGCGGGACGAGCAAGTTTCTATAAGGACCGGTTCTAACCCGGAACTTCACACGGGACGAGCAAGGACCGATTCTAACCCGGATCTTCACGCGGGACGAGCAAGGACCGATTCTAACCCGGATCTTCACGAGCAAGTTTCTATAAGGACCGGTTCTAACCCGGATCTTCAGGCGGGACGAGCAGGTTTCTATAAGGACCGATTCTAACCCGTAACTTCACACGGGACGAGCAGGTTTCTATAAGGACCGATTCTAACCCGATCTTCACGCGGGACGAGCAGGTTTCTATAAGGACCGATTCTAACCCGGAACTTCACGAGGGACGAGCAGGTTTCTATAAGGACCGATTATAACCCGGATCTTCACGCGGGGCGAGCAGGTTGCATGCAGAAGACCAATTCTAACCCGGATCTTCACGCGTGACTTGTAGGTGGCCGAGGATCAATTCTAATCCGAATATCCATGATTATTCGGAAATAACACTAAGCCAACTCACGACGTGGCACACATTGTTGTTTAGGATCCAATGAATATGTAGTACACAAAGTGAGTGAAGGTCACATCTGATCTATTATACAGAAAACTGCTTCTTATTAACATTTAATAAAATTGTTTCACATCTAATGCGCTAATCCGTATTTGCTGTGACCCGTGCCAATAACCTCTTGATAGTACAAAAGGCAGTTTCCGACGGTCAGTTTGTTCAATCACGACTTTCACACATACACCGATACAATCCGACTTTTGTAATTAGTCAGTAACGGATTTACTATTGGCGTGATGGTCTAGAATTGATTTTAACTACAGAAGCTCTCTTCACGCGTTACCAGCTGACGAGAGAAGTGGGGGTGACAGTCGCCCACAGTCAACAGGCCAGCTGACAACCTGTTGCCAGTCACTTTCCAGGTCAAGCACGTGCTGTCTGACCTCCCAAATCACGGTGTTTTCAAAACTTGCAATTCATATATATATCGAGTAACTCGTGTTCACCTGCGACCGCGTTGTGTCGTCAGTGCATGCAATGTTACCTATACAAGTTTTTTAAAAAACATTTTCCATCTCCAAACAATTAACACCGCTTGCACGCCCTCGGGTTAACGCTACTGACCGCACGGCCCAGGGAGAAATAACATCACACAACATCAAGTTTAAACTGCAATTCTTGTTCTTGTGAAGCATTATAATCGGCCCTAACAACATAGACAAGTTTCAAAGAAAACGGGGAGATTGTTTATACGAGTATGGCGTGATTCGGGGACTAATTGGAATATGACGCAAAAGACTTGACACCTTACAGGCAAAACAGTCGCTCCACATCTCAGAACGGGACATCTAACACTCAACGTGTGAGAGGAGTAACTGACTGTGAGTGGGTCGGTCTTCAGTGTTGTAATTCAATCAGCTGGGCTTAACGGACCGATCCCTCCTCGGCACACCCCCATTGTATCGTGGAGCTGGGGACACGGGTGGGAGCGGGAGAACTGACCTACACAGCGAAAGTAGTTCCTCGCCAGTGAGGCGTGAAGGGGGCGTGGCTTGTGGTCAAAGCGTGAAGTTTACAAGTGCACTTACACCATGTTTCCACAAGGCCACAGATCCAACTCCAAGTGAGTTGAGAAATTGATCTGACCAAATATTCTTTTTCAATTGAAGGTGATTACTTTAGCATGCACTTACTTACAAGAAATATTGTATCGTCAACAATTTTTATTGCTGTGTAGTTTTGAGAAATTGCGCGAAATATTAGTATCGTCGACTAAACTTTTATTGCTATATACAGTCGCCCAGTTGTTCTGTATATGAACTGTTCGTCACCTGCAAAACACACGGTCCATGCGTAAATTCTTGGAAATAACACTATAGATGGATATCTGTAGTAAGACAACTCGGGCAGGTTGTACAACTTATTTCCGAGAAATATATCAAGGCTAGAGTTAGTTCTGAGAAATACGCTCTGATACTCACCGATAATCAATTTCGCTTCACACAATAACGCTCAACATGACCCCAGCCGTCTCCTTCCTGGTAGCTTACAGGTCAGCTTCATTGCTGATAGAGACAAACTGACACACGCACGTGGAGGTAGAGTGAGTGAGTGTGGTTTAGCGCCGCTTTGAGTAATATTCCAGCAATAAAAAGGTGAGGGACACAAGAAATTCCCATGTGCGGAATCGAACCCGGGTCTTCGGCGTGACGAGTGATCACTTTAACCACGCAAGTTGAATCATCATAGGGACACACAGAGGTTGAATCATCATGTGGACACGCATGTTGAATCATCATAGGGACACACAGATGTTGAATCATCGGACACGCATGTTGAATTCATCATAGGGACACACAGAGGTTGAATCATCATAGGGACACGCATGTTGAATTCATCATAGGGACACACAGAGGTTGAATCATCATAGGGACACGCATGTTGAATTCATCATAGGGACACAGAGGTTGAATCATCATAGGGACACGCATGTTGAATTCATCATAGGGACACACAGAGGTTGAATCATCATAGGGACAGGCATGTTGTATCATCATATGGACACGCATGTTGAATCATATGGACACGCATGTTGAATCATCATATGGACACACATGTTGAATCATCATATGGACACGCATGTTGAATCATCATATGGACACGCATGTTGAATCATCATATGGACACGTATGTTGAATCATCATAGGGACACACATGTTGAATCATCATAGGGACACACAAAGGTTGAATCACCATAGGGACACGCATGTTGAATCATCATATGGACACACAGAAGTTGAATCACCATAGGGACACAATCGGATTGAATCAACCAACGGGGGATGCACACACTGAAACTGGCCAATGTATTTTTCCCTTTTCAATGGTATCTTACAAATATTTACTATTCAACTTGATAATACTTTCTTCTGGGTTCAACATAAAATGTTTTATTTTTTAATCAGTAACGACAAAAACTCCCCACAGACAAGTGTAAGGTTGCCCCAATAGTGTCCAAATGTATGCAAGTATTATATTCAGTGCCAAACACGACTTCACGACATTGCATACTTAAATTTGTCACGTGCATCAAATGAAATCTTAAATAAATAAATAAATAAATAAATAAATAAATAAATAAATAAATAAATAAATAAATAAATAAATAAATAAATACCGCCACGTTATTTCAACACTTGTTTCAGTAGTGAATGTAGGCTTCAGCAGTGTTAGTGTAGTCTTGACTGATAAGAATATAGCATTAACTTCGCGCTAGCTGATAGTTATCAGAATATACTACGTTTATTTTTACAGAAATGTTTATGAAAAATATAAAATACTTTCTTTTTGTCTCATATGAGATATAATCTGATATTCCCTCAGTCAGACAATCGAGTTTATCAAGTCCATATTCAAATTCTTCGTTTCACAGGGTCAACAACGGTGACAAATTATCAGGTCTTCAAGAAATATGGGTGTGTCCGGTACAGGCGTCCATAGTAACTTACGACAATGACAGTCGGGAGTTACTTTTGATTGACTCCCGCAAGTGCATAAAGTTGATTTTGATTGGCTACCTCCTGAATAATCATCACAACAAGCTCCGCCTTCACAGATTCCCGCCATCAAACCGACTTACTGTTTCTTCATTCACCAGGAAATAGTCCCCATGTTTTATCATTTATTTTATAGTTGAGAAATTTATTCTAATAGCAACCGCATTCTGTTAGTTGCTATTGCTGTTAAAGAGTATTTTCTGTAAAATTACAGTAAATTACTGCACTACGAGAATTTGCGTAAAAATGACCTTGACGAAAGGTGAGCGCGTAGGAATATCGTCATCCTCCAAGTCGTCTTTCATTTATGAAGGCTCGCCAACTCGAGAGATCATTGCCCCTTGGACTACACAAGCGAGCAAATGCTGTTGAAAGCTGCACCTCGCATTTTGGATACCTATATGATGTCAACACCCAGATGTATTAACACAAAAGTAAGTATTTTGTGTATATGCTGTGCTGTAAATGACAGTTGGGGGATCTAAGAGGAAGTAGTGAAATATTCCGCGAAATGTTTTGTGATGTAACCGGAGTGAATGTGAAGAATTTCCTAATTTGTAGTCAAGTTAATTCGTGACTGATATGACATGTGATAGTTTTAGATTTGCTTTCGCTTCTGGTCAAATGTTTAGTATTACGAAGTACAACGTTACAATATTCACCGTGCCTTTTCCTCGTTTGGGGCGCGGGGTTTTCATGCTCGAGACCTCGTAGTAGGTCTAGCTGAGCAACGTGGGTTTCACGTGGCCGCCATGCCGGTATGTCTGAACTCGTCACCGAACAGCTGCTACCAGTTCAACTTCGTATTTCTACACTTATGTAGAGTCTAAATGTATTTTATACGTTATACTAGGTGACTACCTTGTGAATTGGTCACTGTCACACTTTGGGATGGCATAATTATGTGTATATGGTATATTGCTTCATCAGTGTGTAATGTCAGGGTAGAAGTAGGCGTGTCCAGACTGAATGCCAGCAAGTTGCTGTATTTTTAAACATGTACTTTTTATTATCTAAGATGGCTTTGCCTATCATAATGTGATTCTTTCCAGTATTAATCGTAGTAGCAATTAATTATATTGTTTTAATTGGATTTTTAGGACATGGCTAAAATACATTCACTGGATGAAATGGACGAGAGCAGTATGTACTCCTTCATGGACAACGAGGGCGATGTTGATTTCTACAATCTCAACACGCCAACTTTGATGCCAAGTGAAGATATTTGGAAGAAATTCGAGCTGTTGCCCACTCCACCTCGTTCACCAAAACACGAAGTTTCTGACCTTCTCGACTATGAGTCGACCGATATTTCGGACTTCTTGCAGAATGAGGCAGTCCTCAAACCGCCCAATTTACCCTTTCCTGAATCGCCACCACCGTCTAGTTTGTGTTCTAAATTAATTCAGGATTGTATGTGGTCTGGAAGTCACCAGATAGGGTTTGAGGTTGAGAAATCTCCATCCCCCGGGCCGGACACACGGCAGAACGAGAACGGCCAGACTGAGACCCCATCTGACTGTGTGGATCCTGCGGCAGTGTTCCCCTACCCCATCAGCGATACCCGACTGACCAACCTTGGAACAGAAACTCCCTCAGACTCTGGTATGTATTTGACTAAATTCACATATTTTATGACGGGACACACATTATAAATGGGATTTTTCATTATACCAGATAATCACATGTAAATACGTTTGGTTCAGGTGTCTAATCGATCTTTAGTTATGTAGGGCTTGTAAACTCGTTTGAAATACATTTCATTGCATTGCGCAACATGGTGTAAGGGCAAGTAACTCGTGAAGGGAAGAGAATATCGGTAGAGCTCCTGTCCTTTTTTTGTTGACCTTCCAGTGCTAAGGAATCCCCAACTGACGTGACATTTTTTTATTCCCAGAAAAGATGTTTGAGCGTAACATATATGTATATAGAACTCAATGACGAATCAATATTTTAATAATGTGTATTGTATTGTTTTTCAGAGGAAGAGATTGATGTTGTATCTACTGAAGATGTTCATGAATCCAGGATACCCTCCCCACAACCCCTGTCAATCAACTTAAAAAATGTGAAAACAGTAACAGTAACAACAGAAAGTGCTAAACGTGAATCTAAGTCTGTGCATGTAGTGATCGGCTACCCAGATATGGATGTGCATAACTACAGTTTACCTCATTCATACAAAAGGACTCGATCATCTCCAGGTCAAACACACATTGCACCAAAGCGGATTAAACGTGAATTGAGTGAACCAGACTTCAAAAAAGTGTGTCAAAAACTGAAGGCAAGTAGTAGATCTTGCAGTAGAAACAATTCAGATTCCGAGGAAGGTGGTGAAGGCAAAAGGACTCAGCATAATGTGCTTGAACGGAAACGCAGAAATGACTTAAAATACAGCTTCTTCTCTTTAAGAGACAATGTACCAGAGTTAAGAGAAAAAGAGAAAGCCCCCAAAGTGCTCATTTTGAAAAAGTCTGCAGATTTTATTTACGAGTTACGGAGACAAGAGGCATCTCTTTCCAAGGAAGTGACATTGTTGAAAGAAAGACATGAAAAATTGAGAAGGACGTTATCAGCTTTGAGACAATAAATTTGTTGGACTTAAATACTTGTTGGTTCATTATACTGCCATGGTTGGAGTACATCCTGGGCAGGATCATTGTGCGTGCTGTGTTCAGGCGGCTGTTGTTGTAGGTTGTTAAACCTAATGTGATGGAATTTATTACGAGTGTTGCATTTGTTGGCTTTACTGTTGTACATATGTATCTATAAGTAGCATTTATTTTATACCAGTCTGAAGGTCCCGGGCTATTGTGTGTTCTTTTGCTTGGAGAGGAAAGGGCATTTCTCATGTATCATGCATTCTTTGTTTTGTATAAAATCTTTAAAAACTCACTGAAAGAAATAAAATGAAAAATCTTTTTTTCCAAACACAGATCCTTGTTGAATCTGACTTTTGTCATTGTCTGGGTAAAACGCGGGAAATTGCGCCCACCAGCCAATGAAATTTCCGCCTCTTGCATTCCATTCACATTGATGTAAAAAAGCAATGTGTACTCACGTTGGGTCACAGGCAGAAACTAGGTCAGATTAGCTTTACGCCATTACTGAGGTGTACCTGGACGAGACAGGCTCACGTGACTTTCTTGATAAAGGGGATAAAGTGTTTAGGTGCGGCCTGACTCGTTTGTTCTGTCAGTGGACTGGGCCAGGTACCATAGCGTGTGAAATTGGTTTCCGACCCAGACTGTACTAGAATGGTGTGTGTGGTGCAGTGTTTGCAGTATCTGCTCTTGTAAGTCAATAACTCAATCATAGGATACGTGGATTTGAAACAAAGAAATTACTGTGCTCGACCTTGTAGGTGTTTTGTCTTTCCAGATTTTGTTTTGAGTGTTAGAGGAGCCTCGCACTTCATGCTGGTCATTAAGAGTGATCGTGTTGTTTTCAGACGCTAGCTTTGAGGGACCAACAAGCTGTATAGAAATAAGTAGGGCCTGTGATTAATTAACCTCGTTAGGCGATCTATTGTAAAACTGGCTCGGGTCGAAGTAGCTTTTCATGAGGAAAGTTGAGTAAATTGCGTAACTTGGAAATTAAACTACCTTGAAACTGCCCTTTCACCCGGGCGCAAGGAAATGGGGGAGGGTATATCCGGTTCGCATTGATATGCGAATTAGCGTTGTGTAATTACAGCCCCGTGTGTATAGTGCCTGTTGTAAAACTAGCAAACTACATCGCCTTGATGAGGTTTGATAAGAATGACCTTTGTTGACATCGTATACCCATTTCTGAGAGAAGTAGCTAAGTATAGAACGAATAGAGGGGGAGCAATATTCGGCGGGACTCGTTGACACGCGAACTGTTGTTTTTGTTCTCACTCGGTCTACAGTACATCAGCACGCAGCTTTCCATGGCAACATCGCGGGGCATACTGGTGGGTGGAAAACACGAATTCAAGGTGCTGGGTATTGAAAGGGTCCGCTCTGAGGTCGTATTATTGGGGCTACCAGACAAGATCATCAAACACTGGCATGGCAAAGGCCGCATATCAACTACGTTCACCTGACCACTGTCTTACCCGTGACCCTACATACCTAGATCACCACTGTCTCTTACAAAGACGCGTCCGAAGCGGACAATCTCTATATTTTACGCAACGTCGTTGTCGTTACGTAACCACGCGTTTCTATCGTGAATTTGTATTCACACGGTAAAGTTAATCTTGCATACTTTGAAGTCTCTCATTCCCAATGCATCTTAACAGTACAAGAAACAGTTAAAAAACATGGGTCCAGATTTTATAGTGTATTTTATTTTTTAACGCAATGTTAAAGACGTCACACAATGTATCCTCAAAGTCACGTGATATAGACATCTTTGTAGATGATACGTCAGGACAATAAGACGTTGACTTCAGTCTTAACAACTTCATCATCCTTTGGTCTGACATAACCAACGAATCACGGATATCAACTCTTTCTTGGGCTTATCTCTCGTTGTGCAACCCTAACGGTTTGAAACGCTCAAGGCCAGATTCGATTCCATGCCCAGCCGCACTTCAGGGTGGTTTGGCACGAGTGTGAGTGAGTGAGTGAGTTTAGGTTTACGCCGCACTCAGCAATATTCCAGCTATATGGCGTAAATGTAAATCTGTAAATAATCGAGTCTGGACCAGACAATACAGTGATCAACAGCATGAGCATCGATCTGCGCAATTGGAAACCGATGGAATTTGTCAACCAAGTCAGCGAGCCTGACCACCCGATCCCGTTAGTCGTCTCTTACGACAAGCATAGTCGCCTTTTGTGGCAAGTATGGGTTGCTGAAGACCTATTCTACCCCGGATAGGTTTGGCACGAGTATCTTCCACAAAGGTGTGTACGACGGTGGCGAATCTGGTCGCTGCCATATAATCTAGTCTCACCCCTAAGACCGCTTCGTGAACATCGGGGTACACAACATATACTATTCAAACATTGCTAAGGATCAAATCATGGATTCAACAGAAAACTATGATGTGGGGTCAAATTTGGTTTAAACATCTAAGCTTATTGTAAACATGTATCCTAGGTTTCAGTATGTCACTGCATCTTGTGGATCCCATACCTGCTATTGACAGGTGTTGTGTACTTGTCAATGACTCGTTCCATGATTTGCGAAATGGTTGATTGGTGCCATGAAAACCATTCTTATGGTTACTCATGTATCAGGTGCATAAGGTTAGATTAAAGGGACTGCTTGCCTAAAGAGGTGTTACCATATGATTATTTTTCCAGTTTTAAATGGATACAATTTCAAATTTTACATCTACGTTTAAGTAAAGTTGTGAATTTTTGTGATCCTTAGCGAAGTGTGAGTAGTGTAGGTCCAGACCGCGTTATTTTTTGAACAGGTTACTGCTTGAACAATTCCAGCGTTTGTTCTACTTATTCTGTTGTCGCGTTTACACTTTTCGCTGATGACAAGCTTTATAGTTGTGGTGTATTTATATTGGATTTCATGGCACGTACTATCAGTGTTGTGTTTTATCGTTATACCCAATCATATACTCAGCCGCAGTTGCCCTGGATACCACACTCAGGTACACTATACAGTATTATACTCCTAGCTGACCAGTGAGTGAGTTACAATTTAACGTCACCTCGGCAATACGTAACTTCTTGTGTATCCGCTTCAGGCTGGACTCGAGGCATGGTAGCAACAAGTCCCACTTTTTAACCTCGTATGAACTGCAGCAGGTATCGAACCATCGATCTCAAGCACAGACGCTATTTCCACTACACCACGGGGCTGTTCCATCCCAAATAACATTCACAAATTAACTCCGAAAGTCGCAGAACATTTTTCAACGAATTGTAAACCGATGTCACATTTCAATGTTGAGAATATGCCGCATTTGCGTAAGGTGCGACTATTTAAACACCTTTGTATACCAGTAGATCGTGATACAAACTTTCAGGCAGTGCATGCACACTCCGCGCCTCGCGCTGGTACACTGACTCTCATCAACTAGCCCAACGGAGTACATAACATTGACACCAGTCAATATGCAAATACCAATTGAGATAAACAGTGCTTCGTCCAGGGACTCTTCGCTAGTAAAAGTTCACCAAGAGAATCTGGCGGGAAGGCTGTGATCACGTGACCTGTCATGGTCTGTTGGCATGATCACAGTGACCTTGCTCAGAAACTGCGCAGTTTTCCAAGTCAAAACACGTCTCGGTCAGTGGACATTCGTGTGATAAATTAACCATTATTGATCAGAATTAAATTCATATTAGAGCAATACCATCACGCATTTACAGACATTTATTTATTCCAGTTTATTTGGGATCACATATTGTACCACATTTCAACTGAATTATGTAATATGTGTAATGATAGAGAAGAGCTTGGCTACATTCCGGTCAGTTGAGGGCAGTCAAACCGAGATAGACATACATATACAGATCCCGTAAAGTAGTTGTGAATTTCACAACCAGAGGCAACCTTTCTTTCTGCGCATTTACATGTATCACTTCGGATCTAAGTTTTGGTCTTGCTTTAGTCCTTGTGAGAGGCTAAATTGTAATGAATCATAAATATTCTTCTTAATTAATTCATCGTGATTTTTTATCAAAAGTTTTCAAGATGTTGGAGTCAAATTCATGTAACTATATACGCTAAAATAGTCACAGAAACCTGTTTCTTGTTTTTTTCTTGCGTTAAGTTGCTCTGAACACATTCGAACAAAGTGACTAAGGTTTCATGATTTTCTCCGCCATTCTTATACGACACAAATGCAAGTCATTCCAACAGACGAAGCAAAGGCGTTGCTACTTGTGACTCTTCGTGAGGTCGTATTGCTCAACTGAATGTAACCTCTCTTGTGTGTATGAAGATAGTGTGATAGTGATAGTGTGGATAGAGTTATGTCCCTTGAATGGAAAGATGATGGCCGCGATGCGCCGACTACCGGTTGTTGTGGTTTTGGGAGCAACAGGCACCGGTAAATCGAAGCTTGCAATCGAACTTGGACAGAAATTCAATGGAGAAATAATCAGTGCTGATTCAATGCAGGTTGGAATTACTGTGCCGGGACGTTGTGTGCATCACATTATTATCAACCACGTGTTTAAAGAACAATTTCACTTTTTGTCAACAAATGAACAATGTTATGACCATATGAATTGTCATGGTATTAGTGTAACAGACTCATCATTGTTGCCATGTGTTTGACTGAGACCGAAGTTTGATTACTGACAAGTGCCTACATTCATTACTGTCAGTATGCGAAATGGGAATTTCCAGTGATATAAATAGCTGACCACGTGTTCTTGTCTATCGAGATCCGATAGTGTAAAACAGTTTCTAGGATATTTGTGTTATTTTTGTCAGATATCGTCAAACAGTCTTCTGAGAAAGTTGTATTGACACTCCAACAACTTGTTTCTAATGAGTACATATTTGTTGCAGATATATGAAGGTCTAAACATCATCACAAACAAAGTGACTTCAGCTGAACAACTCCAGTGTAGGCACCACCTCATCGGCTATGTCAACCCCTTCACCAACACATCAAATACTGTTGTCAACTTCAGAGACAAAGCTCTTCCTATTGTATCCTGTATGCAACAACACTTACATGTACCGCTGCGACACCGGCCCACGACACTTACATGCACCTCTGTGACACAGGCCCCTGACACTTACATGTACCTCTGCGACACAGGCCCCTGACACTTACATGTACCTCTGTGACACATGCCCCCGACACTTACATGTACCTCTGCATCACGCCCCTGACACTTACATGTACCTCTGTGACACATGCCCCCAACACTTACATGTACCTCTGTGACACAGGCCCCTGACACTTACATGTACCTCTGTGACACAGCCCCTGACACTTACATGTACCTCTGCATGCACATGCCCCTGACACTTACATGTACCTCTGCGACACACACAGGCCCTGACATGTACCTCGACACATGTACCTCTGACACTTGACATGTACCTCTGTGACACAGGCCCCCAACACTTACGTACCTCTGCATCACGTACCTTACATGTACCTCTGCCACGACACAGGCCCCTGACACTTACATGTACCTCTGTGACACATGCCCCCAACACTTACATGTACCTCTGCCCCTGACACTTACATGTACCTCTGCCCCGACACTTACATGTACCTCTGTGACACCATGTACCCCAACACACTTGTACCTCTGCATCACAGCCCCGACCCTCTGTGACACATGCCCCCAACACTTACATGTACCGCTGCACACAGGCCCCTGACACTTACTTGTACCTCTGTGACACATGCCCCCAACACTTACATGTACCTCTGCATCACAGGCCCCACACTTACTACCTCTGTAAGACCTCTGTGACCATATCGGCTGTGTCCCTGACCTCGACTTGGTACCGCTGCAACACAGGCCCCACACTTACATGTACCTCTGGATCCCATTGCATACAGTACCATTATTGCATGCCGCTGACACAGGTGACACACTTTCATTGTACCCAATTGATAAGGCCTTTGCAGTAAGAAGGCCACTATCTGGCGGTCTGGTATATTGACACATGATATATGATCATAATGCAGAAAAATGGCAACCAGAGCCAAACTTGCCATTGTATAATAGCATGGAAAAAGAATAACCATAATCTTTGTTATTTTGAATGAACAAAACTGTCATTTTATGACTACATAGAAGAACACTACGAAAACCAAAAATGCCCAATTTTTGGATTGCATTACGGTATACCGAACCGAAGGCAAAATACAGTATACCGTTTCACCCCTAACTTACATGTAACCCTGCAAACCCCCAACACTTACATGTAACCCTGCAAAACCCTTGATCACTTCAATGTAAGCCTGTAACCCCCCACATGTAAGCCTGCAAAACCCTTGATCACTTCAATGTAAGCCTGTAACACCCCCCAACACTTACATGTAAGCCTGCAACACCCTTGATCACTTCAATGTAAGCCTGTAACACCCCCCAACACTTACATGTAAGCCTGCAAAACCCTTGATCACTTCAATGTAACCCTGCAAAACCCTTGATCACTTCAATGTAAGCCTGTAACACCCCCCAACACTTACATGTAAGCCTGCAAAACCCTTGATGACTTCAATGTAAGCCTGTAACACCCCCCAACACTTACATGTAAGCCTGCAAAACCCTTGATCACTTCAATGTAAGCCTGTAACACCCCCCAACACTTACATGTAAGCCTGCAAAACCCTTGATCACTTCAATGTAAGCCTGTAACACCCCCCAACACTTACATGTAAGCCTGCAAAACCCTTGATCACTTCAATGTAAGCCTGTAACACCCTTGATCACTTCAATGTAAGCCTGTAACACCCCCCAACACTTACATGTAACCCTGCAAAACCCTTGATCACTTCAATGTAAGCCTGTAACACCCCCCAACACTTACATGTAAGCCTGTAACACCCCCCAACACTTACATGTAAGCCTGCAACACCCCACGACACATGTAACCCTGCAAAACCCCTGACACTTACATGTAAGCCTGCAACACCCCTGACACTTACATGTAACCCTGTAACACCCCTGACACTTATATGTAACCCTGTAACACACGTCATCACACACATGTGCCCTGCATCACACGTCCCAATCAGTTCCATGTGCTCATGTTCATGGTCTTAAACAGTGTGTTGAAAATGTGGGTGTTTTTGGATGCTATTAGATAGTGGGATAAGGGTTGGACAGTTGTCTGCTTTTGTTGTGTATTTGATCTTGTCACAACCATGGGGTTTACTTTACTACAGATAGGTTGAAGTAAGATTGGCAAGTTTGTATATGCTAGAAAGGCTTTCCTCAACACTGTCAGATAGAGAGGGTGTTTGCAGAGGGGAGACTTCCCATCATTGTGGGCGGCACCAACTACTACATTGAGAGTCTGCTGTGGAAGTTCCTTGTTGATCCACAGGTAAGTCAAACTTGCAATATTTATGATTTGTCCACAGCATTTTGGAGGATGTTGTTAGCCACCCACAGCATTTTGGATGTTGCTAGCCACCAACAGCATTTGTTGTTTGAAACCCATAGCAATTTGGATGTTGTTAGTCATCAACTGCATTCTTTGTTGTTAGCCACCTGCAGCATTACAGATGTTGTTAGCCACGCACAGTATTACAGATGTTGTTAGCCAACCACAGTATTACAGATGTTGTTAGCCAACCACAATATTACAGGTGTTAGCCAACCACAGTATTACAGGTGTTGTTAGCGAACCACAGTATTACAGGTGTTGTCAGCCAACCACAGTATTACAGGTGTTGTCAGCCAACCACAGTATTACAGGTGTTGTCAGCCAACCACAGTATTACAGGTGTTGTCAGCCAACCACAATATTACAGGTGTTGTTTGCCACGAATAGTATTACAGGTGTTGTTAGCCAACCACAGTATTACAGGTGTTGTTAGCGAGGCACAGTATTACAGGTGTTGTTTGCCACGCACAGTATTACAGGTAATGTCAGCCAACCACAGTATTACAGATGTTGTTAGCCAACCACAGTATTACAGGTGTTGTCAGCCAACCACAGTATTACAGATGTTGTTAGCCACCCACAGTATTACAGGTGTTGTTTGCCACGCATAGTATTACAGGTGTTGTCAGCCAACCACAGTATTACAGATGTTGTTAGCCAACCACAGTATTACAGGTGTTGTTTGCCACGCACAGTATTAGAGATGTTGTTAGCCAACCACAGTATTACAGATGTTGTCAGCCAACCACAGTATTACAGGTGTTGTCAGCCAACCACAGTATTACAGATGTTGTTAGCCAACCACAGTATTACAGATGTTGTTAGCCAACGACAGTATTACAGGTGTTGTTAGCCAAACCCAGTATTACAGGTGTTGTTGTCAGCCAACCACAGTATTACAGGTGTTGTTAGCCAACCACAGTATTACAGGTGTTGTTAGCCAAACACAGTATTACAGGTGTTGTTTGCCACGCATAGTATTACAGGTGTTGTAAGCCAACCACAGTTTACAGGTGTTGTTAGCCAACCACAGTTTACAGATGTTGTTAGCCAACCACAGTATTACAGGTGTTGTTAGCCAACCACAGTATTACAGGTGTTGTTAGCCAACCACAGTTTTACAGGTGTTGTTTGCCACGAATAGTATTACAGGTGTTGTCAGCCAACCACAGTATTACAGGTGTTGTTAGCCAACCACAGTATTACAGGTGTTGTTAGCCAGGCACAGTATTACAGGTGTTGTTTGCCATGCACAGTATTACGGGTGTTGTTACCCACCCACAGTATTACAGGTGTTGTTAGCCAACCACAGTATTACAGGTGTTGTTAGCGAGGCACAGTATTACAGGTGTTGTTTGGTGTTGTTAGCGAGGCAGTATTAGAGGTAATGTCAGCCAACCACAGTATTACAGATGTTGTTAGCCAACCACAGTATTACAGGTGTTGTCAGCCAACCACAGTATTACAGATGTTGTTAGCCACCCACAGTATTACAGGTGTTGTTTGCCACGCATAGTATTACAGGTGTTGTCAGCCAACCACAGTATTACAGATGTTGTTAGCCAACCACAGTATTACAGGTGTTGTTTGCCACGCACAGTATTACAGATGTTGTTAGCCAACCACAGTATTACAGATGTTGTCAGCCAACCACAGTATTACAGGTGTTGTCAGCCAACCACAGTATTACAGGTGTTGTTAGCCAACCAGAGTATTACTGGTGTTGTTACCCACCCACAGTATTACAGGTGTTGTTAGCCAACCACAGTATTACAGGTGTTGTTTGCCACTCACAGTATAACAGGTGTTGTTAGCCAACCACAGTATTACAGGTGTTGTTAGCCAACCAGAGTATTACCGGTGTTGTTACCCACCCACAGTATTACAGGTGTTGTTAGCCAACCACAGTATTACAGGTGTTGTTAGCCAACCACAGTATTACAGGTGTTGTTTGCCATGCACAGTATTACAGGTGTTGTTAGCCAAACCCAGTATTACAGGTGTTGTTAGCCAAACCAAGTATTACAGGTGTTGTTAGACAAACCATGTATTACAGGTGTTGTTAGCCAACCACAGTATTACAGGTGTTGTTAGCTAAACCCAGTATTACAGGTGTTGTTTGCCATGCACAGTATTACAGGTGTTGTTAGCCAACCACAGTATTCAGACACCCACAGAAATATGGTCATTGTTACCCACCCACATTATTACAGGTATTGTAAGCTACAGATAAGTTTAGGATTACATGTGTTGTAAGCTACAGACAAGTTTAGGATTACAGGTGTTGTAAGCTACAGATATGTTTAGGATTACAGGTGTTGTAAGCTACAGACAAGTTTAGGATTACAGATGTTGTAACCTACAGTCATGTTAGGATTACAGGTGTTGTAAGCTACAGACAAGTTTAGGATTACAGGTGTTGTAAGCTACAGACAAGTTTAGGATTACAGGTGTTGTAAGCTACAGATAAGTTTAGGATTACAGGTGTTGTAAGCTACAGACATGGTTAGGATTACAGGTGTTGTAAGCTACAGACAAGTTTAGGATTACAGGGGTTGTATGCTACAGACAAGTTTAGGATTACAGGTGTAAGCTACGGACACGTTTAGGATTACAGGTGTTGTAAGCTACAGTCAAGTTTAGGATTACAGGTGTTGTAATCTACAGACAAGTTGAGGATTACAGGTGTTGGAAGCTACAGACAGGTTTAGGATTACAGGTGTTGTAAGCTACAGACATGTTTAGGATTACAGGTGTTGTAAGCTACAGACATGTTTAGGATTACAGGTGTTGTAAGCTACAGACAAGTTTAGGATTACAGGTGTTGTAAGCTACAGACAGGTTTAGGATTACAGGTGTTGTAAGCTACAGACATGTTTAGGATTACAGGTGTTGTAGCTAGACAAGTACAGACAAGTTTAGGATTACACGGTTGTGATTACAGGTGTTGTAAGCTACAGACAAGTTTAGGATTACAGGTGTTGTAGCTACAGACAAGTTTAGGATTACAGGTGTTGTAAGCTACAGACAAGTTTAGGATTACAGGTGTTGTAAGCTACAGACAGGTTTAGGAGAAGTCCACAATTATTCTGTATGTCATATGCAATTTCAATTTGGAAGGTATAGAAAAATGTGTTTGGTTGAAAAACCAAGCCTAACCTAATTGTAAAATTGATGTAATTGAAACCTCAATAAATGTTTTCCGCTGACTATACTCGATCTAGTTACCAATGTAGGTGTAGCACCTGAGACAGGTGAGCAGTAATTACCACAACTCCGGTTGGTGAACCAGCCAGGTGTCCAGAGTTCATAGAGAGTTGAGCAGTTTATGTAAGGTCACATATATCTTGTGGAGAGATGTACAGCCTTGCTTATTGTACATGCTTGTCAGGTCAGGTAAACAGTCATTGTGATAAGACATCGCTGTTGTCAGCTGGCCACCATGGTGGCCCTCACTGCTCAACACCAGCACAACACAGGATGGTGTACGAGCCTGCCAGAGAGGGGAACAGTTTTGGCAGAGCTGTCAAGTCTTGGTTTTGGGTGAACTATCCTCATTGACAAAACCACTACGTTAACGCATCCTTCACACTTTATGTTACTTTTATTCTGCCAGTTCATCTTATTATATTAGTCTCAAACTGGCCACTGTTTGTTGTCTCTTGTCTCACAAGGTCTTTTTGCTACCTTTACAATATGTTCTCAACTATTTCCGGCTCTGACCTGAAAATCTTGGTTTCTGTAGATGTACTTTAGTTGTTAAACTGTTTCCTGATGTCTGAGTTGGTTACACAATACCTGCCTGGGTTACACAATACCTGCCTGGGTTACACAATACCTGCCTGGACATGGTGCCATCACTGCTGTTGTGGTGAATTGGTTACACAATACCTGCCTGGACATGGTGCCATCACTGCTGTTGTGGTAAATTGGTTACACAATACCTGCCTGGACATAGAGCCATCACTGCTGTTGTGATGATTGGTTACACAATACCTGCCTGGACATAGAGCCATCACTGCTGTTGTGATGATTGGTTACACAATACCTGCCTGGGTTACACAATACCTGCCTGGACATGGTGCCATCACTGCTGTTGTGGTGAATTGGTTACACAATACCTGCCTGGACATGGTGCCATCACTGCTGTTGTGGTGAATTGGTTACACAATACCTGCCTGGACATAGAGCCATCACTGCTGTTGTGATGATTGGTTACACAATACCTGCCTGGACATAGAGCCATCACTGCTGCTGTGATGATTGGTTACACAATACCTGCCTGGACATAGAGCCATCACTGCTGTTGTGGTGAATTGGTTACACAATACCTGCCTGGACATAGAGCCATCACTGCTGTTGTGGTGAATTGGTTACACAATACCTGCCTGGACATAGAGCCATCACTGCTGTTGTGGTGAATTGGTTACACAATACCTGCCTGGACATAGAGCCATCACTGCTGCTGTGGTGAATTGTTTACACAATACCTGCCTGGGTTACACAATACCTGCCTGGACATGGTGCCATCACTGCTGCTGTGGTGAATTGGTTACACGATACCTGCCTGGACATAGAGCCATCACTGCTGTTGTGGTGAATTGGTTACACAATACCTGCCTGGACATAGAGCCATCACTGCTGTTGTGGTGAATTGGTTACACAATACCTGCCTGGACATGGTGCCATCACTGCTGCTGTGGTGAATTGGTTACACAATACCTGCCTGGACATGGTGCCATCACTGCTGCTGTGGTGAATTGGTTACACAATACCTGCCTGGACATGGTGCCATCACTGCTGCTGTGGTGAATTGGTTACACAATACCTGCCTGGACATGGTGCCATCACTGCTGCTGTGGTGAATTGGTTACACAATACCTGCCTGGACATAGAGCCATCACTGCTGCTGTGGTGAATTGGTTACACAATACCTG